TTCAGCCACCTTCTCAACTTCCCAAAGTTGTGGTAATATTTCCTTTATGTTGTGGATACTTTCTACTGCATAATCTGCACCTACAACTTTTTGGGACTTCCCAACCTGAAAATTATAACCAACAATATAACATATGAGACTTGATACGTAATTTAAGAAAGATTAATTTTTATTTACGTATCATATAAAAACCTTACAACTTTGACGGTAGCATGATTTTTTGTGGTTATAAGAGTGTCTTGTGTTAATGATAAAAAAATAAAATTGATAAGTTAAAAGGATTTCTGTATATATAAATATTGTGTTGTTATTTATGAAACAGATTAAAAAAAATAAAAAAATCATATAAAATAAAACAGATAAAGTAGAAGTACTTACTAGAACTGTATCAAGACCTACACGTTTGCCAGCTTGAACGTTACACACACTATCTTCAAAGAAAAGCTGAAAAATAGAAATCCTTCGAGATGAATATATATTAATAGTTTATTCGAACAAGTTTTTTAAAAGTCAAAAGTATGTATTTTTTTTCCTTCAAAAAGCAAGATGTTTGACCAGACTATTGCAAAAAAAAAACAAGTGTTTCTAGAGAATATACTCTAGTTTTTTCCCAATAGTAATATTTTTGAGAAAAATACTCTTAGAAACACTTTTAGTAACTCAATTTAAAATTTATTGGTCAAACACAAACATCGTCTCACTTTAACAACAAAAAAAGTATTTTTTAAAATAAGTTGATTTTAGAAACTTAGTCAGACAGAATGTAAAACTCTTACAGTTGTGTGTGGATTAATGATGTTGGCAAGCTCTAATGCCCTTTCAATGGCAACTTGTGAAGGTTTGCAAAGAGTTGGTGTTTTTGGCAACATTGAGTTAGCCTTAGGTTGAGAAAAATGTCCAATAATATCAAAGATCTCATTAGAGCCATAAGTAGTAGTAGCGTTGCTCTTGTCAATTGGATTAAGAGTCTCAAAGCATATTATCCTTTCAAAACAATCTTCCAATCCAAGTTTATTAAGAACTTTGAGAGCATGGACCTCATCAGCATTAGTAAAGATCTGTTACACAAAAAGAAAATTAAAAATAATAATTTAGAAACGTCAAAAACACACCTCAAGTTTCACATTTTTGTTAGTTTACAACCTGAACTATTAGGTATTTACGTTCTCTATTTGAACTATCGCTATTCACTAATCATTAATCAAAACACACCTTCAAGCTAAGTAGAAGCTAAAAAACATGTGACAATCAAGTTAATTTGCCCACAAAATTTCGTTCACATGAATACTGAATTTATTAATTTGAGGTGTGTTTTGATAAAAAAAAAAAGTGAATAATAGTTCAGATTAAAAATACAAATACGAGATGGTTCAAATAAAAAATTCACAAAAACATAATATTTACACTTATGGATTGTGTTTATGGACTTACAACTTTGCGGATTGATAGGCTTAGCAAAAGACTTCTCAAAATAGGGTCAGGCCTCAATTTCTCATAAGGCAATTCACCATGGACAAAACTGCACATCAAACATCAAATGAATTTCGAATCTAAATCAAATAAACAAGAATTATCAAACTATATAAAAAGTTTCAAGATTTCATCCGTCTAATGTGGGACATTTCTTTCAACACCTCCATGCTTACAAACTATCTAGATGAAGCATACACAATCATGGATGAAGAGTATATTCACAACTTTCACACGGTCGAGAGGCCCACACATTGTATACCACGTTAAATGAATGTGAGATCTCATATTTTAGATAATAGCTTAAAAAGAAAAGAATTACCCAAGTCTTTAAAATTTCGTTCCGATATGGGACATTTCATTCAAAACATTAAATTCAATAATATAAAACATTAGTGTGAGTTTATAATCAAGTCCAAATACTCACCTATGATACTCATCATAGTCAAACTTGTAGCCAATTGCCTACAAAAAATAAACAAGTTGTCTTATTGAGTTAATAAAAAATTGTCAAAAATCAAACTTTCTTTCTATGATCAAAATTTAATGCTTAAAAAAAATACCCTAAGGCCTGCCATTGTGGTTCCATAATTCTTGTACAATAAATTACCCAACTCAACAATTTTGCTTTGTTCTATACCAAGCTTTTCAACCATAAAATCTGTAGATGCAATTTAATATCTAAATTAGAGACATAATTAGATAATTATTATTTTAAAACTTTTGAATTACATGTCAAGTGATTATACCTTCAATGTTCTTGGTGACATCAACAGCTAGACCAATACTAAGGGGGTAGAGAGTGTCATCTAGATCTGTAAATTTCGAAATAAAAATAAGATGAAATAAATGAAGAAGTCGGATTTGACGTCAACTTCGTCGCAAATTTTGAAGTTGAAACTTAAAAATTTGGATTCCTTAAATTGGAAATTGTGTTCGAACATGCATTTTACTTGAAAAAATATTTAATTTGTCGTGTGTGGATTCCCAAAACTGGTCTAAACTAGCTTTTGGGAATTTGAAAAATATTTAAAGGTCAGGTTTTCAAAATCTAATTAAGTTTCATGATCAAATAAATATTTGTAAATAAAATTTCAAAATCTGTGATTAAACGCTAATTAAATTTTAAAAAGATAACATACCAAAAAGAAGACATTCATATTTTGACCTTTGAGCATGCCCATTTTCCATTTTGGCCTAGAAAAAATAAATAAAATACGTAAAAATATTTAAACGAAATATCTTATTCATAAACTCTACGATTCTTAAGTTCCATAAATCTTACTAGAAACCCTATAATAATATGAACTAGTATAGATAAATTCTAACTAGACGTGTATTAAATAAATATTAAATAACAAATCTTATAGTAATAATATATAATTCCTACTCCATTTTTAAATTAATATTTCAACAACATTTAACAAAGATAATCTAAATCCACACAATTCAATTGAAAATTCAATCTAAGTATCGATCTACACTTCTTCATATATAGCTTCCCAATTGTTTGAGTTTCACATATCAACAACTTGAATAAGCACATATAACAATAGGGGTACTCCGATCCCAATTAAATAAATTCACTCACTCAATTTTAAATTTACTCAACCCTAACTCTTATCAAACTTTGTTTTTTTTAAAAAAAAAATATATATTTATACTATTTAAATTTATTTTTTGCTAAAAACCTTTGAAAGTCGATTCCACAAAAATATTTTTCTTACAAAATCAACCTCTGTAGTAGATTTTTTGGCATAAGTCCTCAAGAAAATGCAAACAAAGATCGAACAAAAATAATATTTTTAACAAAATTGACCTCCAGAGATTTTTTTTTTAGAGCCAAGAAAGAATACAAATCGGCCTCTGGAGATCGATTGTTTTGTCATTAAAAAACAATTGAAAATTTCAACCTTTAGAGGTCAATTTAAAATTGTATTTTATTAAATGTTATGTGAATTTATATAGTTTTTCTAAAACATTCAACGTTAATGGTTAATCAAAAGATATAAATGAGCTAAAATGTAATAGTCTAGAGACATGTTTGATCCTTTTCTATAGAGAAAAAAAATAAGAAATAAAAACAAGTTAATCATCAACCAGAACTTATTTAATAGATCAAAAAATCAACTTCGCTCTTTCAAAACACATACAAAGAAAATCAAAATAAATCTATATAGAAAAAACATACCAAGAAATCAAAATAGGGAGAAAATAGAGATACACAAGACTTTTTTTTTTGGTAGTGAAAGTGTTTTTGCAAAATTCATCTTTGAATTTATAGAAGCAAAATCCGTTACATCTTTACACATTGGGATCCTCGTAAATCCAAAGAGTTATCCTTTTTTTTTTTTGGGCAAAGAGGATTAATTATTTATCCTCTCTAAATAATAATGACATAATATATAGGGAAAAGGGTCTGATATACCCCTCAACTTTGTCATTTAGAGCTGATATACCCCTCGTTATAAAAGTGGCTCATATATGCCCTTACCGTTATACAAACGGCTCACATATACCCCTGCCGTTACAAAATGGCTCACATATACCCTTCATTTAACGGAAGTTAAAAAATTAGTTTTAAATTTATATTTGTTACTTCTAATTTTTTTAAAAAAATTATTTAGGGGTGTATATGATTCTTCAATCAAAGTTCAAGGTATATTTTAATTTTTTTCATACAAAAATTATTTTTTGACTTCTTTTATTATGATTATTTGAGTTTCTTATTCTTATTTTGTTTTTTTCTTTCATTCCTTAGTTTAAAGAAAAAAAATTAAACTATTTTTTTGTGTATTGTAATTAAATTTCGTATTCGAATAAAAAATTTGGTCATCTACAATAAGTTTTACAAGAATATTCGTGAAACATAAATAAATTTGATTATCAAAATAATAATTATAAATTAGTCATTGAAACAAAAAAAAGTCAAAAAAATATGTTTGACGAGGATTAAATTTACTCATATAGGATTATATTTTTTAGAAAAAGATAATAAAAATTTAAATTAAAATTAATATTTTTTTCATTTCCGTTAGAGGAAAAGGGTATATGTGAGCCATTTGTTTACAAGCAGGGGTATATATGAGCCACTTTTATAACGAGGGGTATATCAGCTCTAAATGACAAAGTTGAGGGGTATATCAGACCCTTTTCCCTAATATATAAATGTATCTTTTAATTAAGTTTTAATTTATTTTTTTATGTGCACAAATAAATATCACAAAATAATAACATATTTAAAATAATTTCATAAATAATGTCTGAGAAAATAATGTGTATGCAATTCTACTTTCAATTTTATTTGTATAAATCTATGTCAGCATATTTGGAAAATATAATTTTCACCCAAAGAACAAAGTTATGCAATAAGTTAACAATATCTTAATAATAATGATCCTCAGAAATTGCAACATTTTAGTAATAGTTTTATTTACATCTAATAATATCATATTATATAATTTTTATTTTTTTCTTGTTTATTTGATATCTAAATAGAAAATTGTAGATTTTTAATAGCATGAAGTTGGTGTGGTGTAGTGGTTATCACGTCAGTCTTACACACTGAAGGTCCCCAGTTCGACCCTGGGCATCAACATTTTTTATCAGAATTATTATTTTTGTTCCGACGGATGACGGTCTAAACTCACATTCTTATAATAATTTTCCATTGATGTTTGGGACTCGTATTGTATCTTGATTAAATTTGCATTCATGTATTTGTATGGCGTTTTTTTTTCGGGTGATGCTCTCAAGTCCCAACAAGACCTTCTTTTTTTTTCATTTTCACGAGCTCAAATTCAACATTTTTGATTAAGGATAAAAGAGTCACAACAATTGCATCACAACCTAGATCGTTACTATTATATTATATTTTAGGAAGATTCATATAAACTTCCATATTCAAATGTAAAATTTTGTTGAAGTTTCAAAACTCTCTTAGAAATTCATTAGATTGAAACTTGTGTTACTTTTAAAATTACTTTTTTGTCGATGGAAATGAATGTTTCCGCTATGTTATGTTTGTTTTCGTTTCCCAGTGGTATTCTATACTAGTATTGAAGCTCGGTTGAATTCAGATTCATGCATTGTAGAAGTCATTTTTTAGGATGACGCTGACAACAAGACTTTTCTCATTTCCATCAACCTGCATGCTTAGATTAATAAAGGTATTTCAGTCATTTCTCATACTGGCATTGCTACGATCCGACCCATCGGGTTGTAAAGCACCTACTCTAACACCTAAGTAGGAGAACCCTCAATTTTCCACCATTTAAAACATGCGAAAGATTAAGGAAAACTGAAAATAGAAAGAAATTCATGAAGATTTATAAGTAAGAGGTTGTAACACAATTCTAGTTAATACATGTAAAGTAATCAGCACCTCAAGGGATCTAGTCTAACCAAGTAACAGAGCTATTAAGAGTACAAGATGCAACAAAAGTAAATGACACAACTTTCATCACACGGAAGGAAATATGGAAGCTGCTGGAGATTATCTTTGTCTTCACTTATGAGACATCACTGATCCTGCATCAAGACTATGTCAAAAGACATGGCAAGAATAGTATCAGTACAAAATACAACATAACACCACCTCCAACTCGCCATGACAATATCCAACACTACCTTCCTAATGTAGCACTTAATGACACTTGACCCTTGTCTCTACCTGCCGTATCACATTCAGATTGGAAACCTAACCATTCCCAATCCCCTACATGAATAGTATATCCAACTAGCTTACCACACCGCAATCCACACATTAATCCATAAATAATGCACCAACCAAATATACATCAAGATCAATGAACAATTCCACATTCTCAAAGCTATATAATTATGTCAAGTCAATGGTCCTCTCTTGAAATTCACACCCAAAATGTTAGCGTATCGAAACGTGGTATCCGATCTAATGCTTATGTCATAATGTGATAATCGATCCCATGTTTATGCAGGAACGTGGCAATTGATTCCATGTTTATGCCGCAATATGGCAATCGATCCAAGTTAATGAGTCGGAATGCAACACCCGATATATTCAACAAGCCACAATCATAAGTATATTCTCAAATATACATACAATCAAGTCATGATTCATGATACTCATCATTCATCCAATTATGTAACATTCGTATACATACATGTATTGTAATGAAGCAAGGACAAACATACATCACACAACATGAAATAACAACCATCACCTAACCCTAGTTCATTGATTAGGACTTCCCCATATGTTATACTTCTGAGGTAACCCCTAGGCTACCATTACAACATTCTCCTTTCATACACAAATGCCTATGCATGAATTCTACCGCCAAGATCAAGATATTACACACTAAGTGACAAATTTATAACTATTCAATTAATAAACCTAGCCTACCTGGGAGCTAAGCAGCTTAGTTCTTGCCTTTGATTCTTGTTCCCGAGCTCCGTGACGGTAATCTTCACCGGAAATCAACAATCCATCGATCTCCTTATGCTAGAAATCTTTTTCTCCCTCCTTCCTAAGCTTAGAGCAGGTTTTTTTTTTTTTGGAGGGGGGGGGGGGAGGTTTCTTGGGTGGTTTACATCTAAAATTAGGTATTTTAGAAAGAAGGAGAAATTAAGATTTTGCGTTATTTACACTCTGCCTCCCCTATCACGCTCAGGCGCCAGCCAACTTACCCCGTTGTGGCGTCACCGCCTAGTTGCATCTGGACAGTGGCTCAAAGTTTTGCTTTTTCTAAATAACGACGGTTTGGATCATTACAGACATTCACACTTAGCCACTAACCAAGTACAGGATTTTAGACAAGCGA